CTGCTGAATCCCTTACCAGGGTGCATTCCACCATTCAGGATACAATTGTTATGTCATTTAAGATTGCATGGGATCTGAAATCCTCAAGAATGCAACAAATGGGTCAAAACTGTTTGGGCTATCGTTGAATCCCTAAACAACCAATCTTAAATCAACATGTGCATCTTGATCTATCTTTGGTTTATGAATTTATTGCATACATGTATGTGAGCACTTCTTTGGCATGAAAGTTGTGCAAGAATGTTGATTGGAGTTAGCCTTTAAAAATCTAAACAAGGATAACTACAGTTCATCACCATATCTGGATGGAATAGAGGATAGAAGTGACTTAATTGTTATAAACTCCCTATGTATGTACTTTAATTTCAAGCATGCAGGAAAAAGCACTTGAATATGTGCCAAACTTACTTGATAACTATTTGCATACTCAGTAGTTTTTCAAGGCACCTCACCTACACTGTTACACCGTAATTCAAGTACTATATGCTAAAAGTTAATAGCTAGTACATGTGCCGTGAATCTGGTGATCTGCCATCTATCTATCTGATGTTACCCTGTAGGTGTTGGTTCTGCCACATCAGAACATGACATGATAAAATGGATAGGGCCAAGACAGGGGTTATACAGTATGTCATTACTGCAGTTATGATGGGCAGAGAACAGACATTGGCATGATGCTACTGCAAAGTGATGTCTGCACTTAACCTTTAACATGCCAAATTACCATCTCCACCTGCAGTGGTTCAAAGGAGTGGGGTCCCCCTGCAGCATGCCAAAGGTTAATGTGCGTGTGACGGCGGGAACTGGCGTCTGAGTTTATGATCTTATCGCCGTACGGTAGATTGCACGGGTGATTTATTTGCAGTACATGTGTACTCGTGAAATGGCCCCCAGTAGTATGAAGTTGCATAACTTCTTGAAGTGCACAGATCACAGTAAGGACATTGAAGTTAGATTTGTCATTAATGTAGCACCCTCCCAGTGTACCAGGTTGTTCATGGAGGTCCCAAGACAGTGGTGATGTTTGAACTAGCCATATATTACATCAATGACAGTATCATTAGATGAGATTCCACTGTCAGTAGTGTCATAGACTGTTTGGAGAGGACAATTAAAAAGTAATAATATTATACTTGTAATATTTTTTGCAGATTGCATCAGAAGTGCACCTGTGGAGCCACCTGAAGGGTAAAAAGCACCAGGAAGCCATGTCTGAGCAGATGGAGGGAAAAATGTTATCAGAAGAAGAAATGGTAAATTTGACTTTTAAGTTTAACCTCCTCCCTGCTGCCTTACCCCATAACCATTAGATAAGTGGAAGACAAATGGCTACTTCAGTGTGCTAAAGGTCAAAACTTTCAGTCACTACCGGTATTCTGGTTTTCACCGAAACTTACTACACATGTATCGGGTTTAACTTTGCAGGGTTAGACCAAGCAGCATTTTTGTCTTGTGGGTTAGCACATTAAAAATTATGCTTCTTGATGTCTCAATTTAAACCCAGCAAAGCTGCATTGCTTCTTTCTTTCTTCAAATTACAGCAATACACATGGAGCACTAGGCAGCAAATTCAGCTGATGCTGTGCTCCACACATTACAGATGGCATTACATCAAAGCTGCATTGCTTCATCACTTATAAGAAATGCATTATGCTTAAGTTTACTTTTATAGTTATCTCCATTTTTACTGCTTTTTTTAAACACTGTTCAAAATTCTCTGTGTAGCAAACCCTCTCGTTGAAGTACATCAAAGATGCCCTGGAGGGAGGACATGACACCAGTGCTGAACAGGAGAAGGAACGACAGAAAATGCTGAAGAAACGTGCCAAAAAGCTCCGCTCTAGGATGGCGGCCAGGTGTGTTTTGTTTTCCTGTACTTATCATGACTTGTCATGGGAACAACTAAGAAACAAATAAATACCAATACCCGCAATGGCCACATGCAAGATGCATATTATGGTTGATACATGTAGTCGCAGTGATAAAGAAAGACAAGGAAGTTCCAGGTGTAGCAGGCAAAAATGTACCCCTAATATTCTGTACCCCATGTATGCTGACCAGGGGTACATTCCAGCTTGCTACACATGCTTCACATGATGCAAGATCAACTTACAACACTCTAACACTTTTAACAAGATGTTGCCATTGTATGCTTGCTCCCTCCATGTTTACAATTTTTTACCTTGATTGTGATATCTTTTCCCTTTCATCATCATATAATTATCATCATTTTGCTTTTATGACAAATAAACCAACAGTTGATTAACATGATAATTTCATTTATACACAGCAGAGAGAAGCTGTTGATTGGATTTTATTCTACAATCTCTCTCAATCTGCAGTTTAATTTGTCAATCTAGATGTAAATACGATTACTGATCAGAGGCACTTCCTTTCCAATGCTTTTATTACAATTGTCAGAACTCCAATATTGTACATCACACTCGGTTTACAGCTGTCATATCAAATTGAGGGCATTCTTGGGACAGCTGTTGACGTGTCACCAGGGCTCTAGCCTGTACTCTTTTTTCCCATGAATTGCAGGAACTTTTTGACTTGAGACGGAAACATTTTTAAACCATTCGATCAACCTTGCGGACAAAATTGACAAAAATCTTAGCTAGAAATATAAGAACATCCAACGAACCACCAACAACCACTCACCACGCCATGATTTGCCTCAGTCTCAAAATGTGTGAAATTGCATATATGGACGCTTGAAAATCCTCAATTTGTCCATGACCCCCCTAGATTGTGAGTACCCTCCCCCCTCAGGTCTGATCATCAGCCTGGGCTGACAGAAAAAAAATTTGAGCTAGCTAGAGCCCTGTGTGTCACACAACGTTCTTGTAGATCCTTGCCAGCAGTCATTTCTGTGATGGCCTTCCCGAAACCTCCATGACACTAAAAACAAACTGTAAAGGAGGAATGCGACCGTGCCTTAAGTGAATAGAGAAAGGAAATGTTTGTGGCCATGATTGGCCCATTCATTGGAGCAGCCACGGCTGCCTGATTTCTCTGCAGGCACATTAGCAGCCTTTAAACTTGCCATCGATCAGATGTGCAGGAAATTGGCCGAGCTGATCCATCCTGATTCCTCGGGCCTCCGACCTGTCCGTCAGGCAATCTGTCTTGGCGAAAATGTCTGCGGGAACAAATAAGCCAATTTCAGCGCCTTGTGTCATGATTAGGCAGATCAATAGAGCTAATTAAGTCTTGAAAAATCAATCTGATCAATATTTTCAATCAGCTGCACAATGTCAGATGGATGGCTTAATTAATTGCGGTGTACGTGGCCTCGTTTGTCTGCAGGGGACGGGAGTACGAGAGCGTCCACGGCGGCAAGTTACCCAACCCGGACTCCACGCACCGGGCAAAGTAAGTCACCTTCGTTACGTCAGCCACGCAGTGTCACTTGGGGCAAGAAATAAAACTGTATTTGAATTTCTTTCCTTTTTTTAGATTAACTTTCCATCACTCTCATGAACATGGCATTGTGTGCTTGGAAAACGTGAAAGGGTGCTATCACACATGATTTAACACACTATAGATATATACAGGTACACTGCAAACCATATTCAAAAATTCACCAAAAATGCTTAAACACCAAAAAGTATTCAACACCTCAGAATTCACAAAAAGTTTTTCACACAAACTTTACATGAACATATGAAGATATACTGTCACTGTCACACCTGATTTTTAACACACTACAATGTACATACGTTATATGCTACAGCTCATACTTAGTATTCCACAACTTCACAAAAAGGACCTAAAGATTCACAACTAGTGTACATGTATATGACAAAGACTATTATTATAATATTAGTATATAGTGTTGGGATCTGGAAAACAAAGAACCATGCTCCTAACACTTCAGGACAAAGTTGTCCGTCAGGTTGAAGTTGTTGTCACAGCGGCTAAGTTCCTGCGATGTTGTCTAACATTGATTTTGTTGGATCCTCGCGGCAGACCATGACAAAAGGTTATTGGCAGGTCAATGGGGGCAAACACATTTGTATCGGAAAAGCCGACGGCTGCCAGGGGGAAAATGATTCCGCTTCTGTCCTACAGTAAATTTCCTATTGCAAATCATATTAGCCGGGAAACAAATCTAGTTACCATCTCAGGTCCAGACTTTATTACCTGATTTTATTTGCTGGCCTCCATTGATTGCACCCTGCTCTGAGGTCATCGCTGCTTCACACTGTCTGGGTGTTTGGTGCAGCTTCTGACAGCAGTCCACTGTCGTCCCACCAATGCCGCTCTCTCATCTTCTTTCACACTACACAAGGATGGAAACAAAAACTTGTAGTTCACACAGTTATTATTTGTGGAAGAGTTTCAGTGGAATAAACTGAAATTTCCATCGGAATAAACTGAAAGTTCCATTCAAACTTGATAGAAAGTGTTCACAGAACACGAATATTTGTCTTGATAGAAAGTGTTCACAGAATGCCAATATGACTTGATATCTAGTGTTCATAGAGTACCAATATGACTTGACAGAAAGTGTTCACAGAATGCCAATATGATGCTAAATAGAAAGACTTAGCGTTCACAGAACACCAATATGACTTGACTGTTAGAAAGTGTTCACAGAACATCAATACATAACACCAAAATAGGACTTGACAGAATGTGTTCGCAGAACACCAATATGACACCATTCAATGGTTGTCCCACCACCACACGCTCAGTAATTTTCTGCTTTCAACAGAAAATAATCTGCAGTTCACACACAGCCACACCAAATTTGAAAGAGTTTCAGTGGGTTGACACATTCTATTAGCCTTGATAGAAAACGTTCACAGAACACCAACATGAAGCCATGTGTAAGATGTGGCACCTTGGCACTGTTTTGCAGTGCTTATTGCCTGTGTTTGGGGTAGGTAATAAGTTGGAAATTTCTTATCACCCGTACTGAATCTGGGACAATTTGATACTCAGCCCAGGTAACTGGATTAAGGAGACATAAGCCATAACTCTACAGATTCTAATTTGAATAGCAATCCTGGATCAAATTAGGTTTCTAACCTTTGATCGATTGCAGATAAATGTTGATTTTTCTCAGGAGAAAGTAGGGTTGACTCTGATATTCACCTGCAAGTGCATAAAGGCAGTGCACTTCACTCTATTCTATGGGGTAACTGTGTTTTGATGCATTATTTTAGTAGAGCTCTGTCACTTTTGTTGAAAGATGTATTTTTGACAGGAAATTAAGGACACTTAAGATATTGTGGCATTGATGGCCGAGTGATAAGGCTAGCGAGAGGACATGGGATCAAGACGTCACTGGTTTGAATCCTGGCATTCATGGCTAGATGTTTTGTCTGTTGGAAAGGTACTATACATGACTTTCCCAGATGTACAATGTAAATGGTTACCTGACTTCTGTTGGAGAGGTGAAAGGTGGTGGAAGAGAGGGCTCTGCCAATATCATACTGTGCCCAAGACACAACAGACCATGTGACCAAAAGAAGGCTATGGGGCTACCTTTAAAGTTCCTCAGTTAAGGGCATACTGTGCTTGTGGATCAAAACCTAACACTAACACTCATGCAAAATATAACTAAGATATGTACCCTAGTTTTACCATCTAACTTATTCTGTCATATTCCAGTAGTAACATTTTAAAAGTGAAACAAAATGCTGAACTTCCCAAATACCAGTATACCAAATACCATTTATAAAATGGCCAATGGCTTAGTTCCCAAATATCCGCAAGACTTGGTTCCCCCACTTATCCGTGATTCCACCCCTTATGGCCTGCGTACTGACCAGAATAATCTCCCTTTTACCCTCAAAACTGAAAAGTACAAAAAATCTTTCTTGCCTTCTGCTGTTTTCTCTTGGAACAAGATACCCCAGACCGCCAAAGAATCCCCATCCATTCGTGCATTCAAAAATGAATTAGAGTCTTGCTTTGATAGCATGCCCAGACATCCTCACTACTCTCACGGCCACGGACACCATGTGACTCACCTTACCAGACTCAGGCTTGGTTTCAGCCAGCTGAACTACCACCTATTCCAGCATCACTGTATCAGTAGTCCCGAGTGCAAATGTGGGCATCCAAATGAGACACCAGAACACTATTTATTACACTGCAAATGTTATAATACTGAAAGGACCAAAATGTTGTTATCCATATCTTGCCTTCATCTTGAAAACATACTTCCCTCCGACCCACTCAACGTAAACGACGCCACATTATGTACTTTACTTCTTACAGGTAGCCCCTCCCTCCCATACCCTACCAACTACCGTATCTTTGATATTGTGTTTAACTATATCCACCACTCTGGAAGATTTGACCAATCTCAATAATGTTATGCTAGGTATTGGTGCGCCAGCCACTTTCATTTTATGTTAATGCTATACTTCATGTTATCCTTATGTTTACATTTGTATTATGTTTTATGAGCAGCGGATTTACATAAGCACAACAAGTGCTTCCTATCCAATGCTCAAAAATCCATGTGAATAAAATAAAAATAAAATAAAAATAAAAAATAAATACCAGTATACATTAAAATCAGATGAGAGAAAAGGTAATTAATGCCTCCTGAGCTTTTCCCTCAAGAACATTATATTAAACTTTCTTCAGATTTAACTTTTGCGGGTGCTTGCATTCTGCAACTATATTGCACTTGCAGGTGGGAAACTTCTGTTGGAGCCATGTACATGTAAGTGTTAAAATCACTCAGTAGCGGTGACGGACCAAAGTATAGGCAGGACGTTTAAGAATTAACAAAATCTGGGTCTTACAATGAAAACGGTTCAGTAGCAAATTGTAAGATCAACAATGATTACTGGCTGCATCCTGTGAGCTGCCTGAGATCAATACTTCCCATTTGCACAAATGGCGGTCATCACAGCAGCGCATACACATGGCAAATTGCCTCCCGCTACCTCACAGCTCTTGATTATTTGTGGCGCAACAAAGATGGCAACATCATCTTTCACCGACGTGTCAGACACAGTTTGCCGGCACCGAATTCGGCACACACGTACCAAAAATGTAGGTTGAGCTCTCTACTGTAATCAGCTGCAGTAATTTCCCTCTCTGGAAATGAATGCCCCAGTATTGATTGAAAAATTAAGTTAGTTTTATTAGTGGTGGATGTGAGATTGTTCTCGCCGGTTTTGGTGTCCTCTCTGGAGTGATAGATTAAAATGGTAAGCTGGATATTCTGGGTTTGTATAAAATGTTGCACTAGAAGATGATTGGATTTGCACTATTGTATCTACAGTAGACGTGTTTGCTGTAGGAATGGGCAACCTGGATGAAATAAAAACAGGCCAGTTCTTGTGATTTAAAATACACAATGATTTCCTCTTAAAAACATTTGTATCATATGGATTCGAGAACTTGACAAGTTTTCGTTGCAGTTATCTTCATGACTATAGCATACATGTAGTACTGCATGTACATTTTTGTACACCAGCATTTGAGCCAGACTTGACTGTACAAGACATTCATTGTGGACAAGGAAGCCAAACTGGCAAGTGCCAAGGGTGCAAGAAATTTAGGCAGTTCTGCAATATGCTCCCCTTTTGCAATTCTAAACCAGGCTTCTATCTCAAGATACATTGTATTAAGATGCCCATTTTAACTGGAAACTAGAGTTCAATGATCTCATACCTTCACCAAATGACATTAACCTAAAGTTTATGACTGATCAGTTATCCTAAGAAAGAAAGCCATTCTAGCACCCTTGATGTTCTGAACAAAACATATTTAATACCTCTAAACAAAACATATGTAACACCTCTAAACAATTTGAGACATCCATTGTAGAAAAAGTATATCGAAAGATGCCATTAAAGCCTAGCTGGCAGGAGGGCTAGTAAATACTGTCTGGCAGTACCAGTAGCTTGCTGTGGTGGTACCAGCATTCTAGCCTAGTGAAGGTTTGAATGACAAGGATAGCCTTGATTTCTAACACACCACACAAGACTCCTGCTTGATGCTGTGTTTAACCTTCCCCCTGCTGAGTCATGCTAGAGCCAATAATCAGATGGAGACAGCCCAACCACTGCAGGGGGAAGGTTGATTCCTGAGCTGGATGTTTTTACCTTCATCTGCGCTCCCATTTTTGATGCAGATAGTTACCTGGGGAGTTGTCCTTTAGTAGACTTAGTCTAGTATTCCAACCAGTATACATGTAAGTGCACATGTATGGTATACTCTGAAGCATTATGCAACACTTACATGGACATGTGGTATTATTACCTCTACCCGTTTGTACAGGGATTTTATTTTCAGTGTGTTTGTCTGCTTATATGTTTGTTTGTCCATATTCATTTGAATACAGTAAAGCCACAGGAAGTGGGGGGGGATGGTATAACCACAGACTGACAGGAAGGTTGAATTAGAGCTCAAAATGAAGTGATATGATGGAAGAACTCAAGGATGTCATGTGCACAACAATGGAATATGCACAGAATTAGTGAGAAATTCACAATGATAATAAGAAATCTTGGTCCAGAGCCAGGGTCATTAACCACTGGACACTGCACACTACCTTTCAAACACCTGTACATACATGACAAGTAACTCTCCTTCTCCCAAATATTAAGTAGTACTTAAATGTGCACAGAATTCAAAGTTTCCTCAGGTTAATCATTAATGTGTTACTTTGAAAAGCGACAGTGACTTGTTGCCGCCACATACTTCTCCACGCAATTCTCCACACAATTTCAAGGCTGCGGCAGCTACATAACAGATGACAAGAGCAGTAGATGATGGTACAATGCGCCTTGGTGATGACTGTGCCTCCGTGGCACAACGCACATCCACCTTGCGCCTGATGGCACTTTGTCACACCCTCACCGTGCAGCGCTGTCACAGCCTTCCGTCAATGGCTGGAAATGAGACATCTCTCGCCGTGATGGATGGCTCATCACCGGGATGCCACACAAAATGGGAATGCAATTTGCTAAGTACCCATTTGGGCCCAATGTCGGCAAATAGAAAATCAGAACGTTTGTAACTGATTTTTTTCTTCAAGAGTTGATAGTTCATAAATTGTTGGCGATGATGGCATGTTCTCTCCCCCCGTAGATTTATGTCAGATTCTTCACCCCGCAGCATGTCATTTCTTTGTTCTCAATCTTTCAGCTTAGTGTCTTGGCAGTTTAATACTTGGTTCTTGGAATTGCCTCTGGAAAAAAATTTAGAGTTGAAATGGAGTTTGTTTGATAGCGTCAGTTTGCTTCACCTTCAACTTCGGACTTGAACACCAGATATCTTGAGACAATATTAGGGCAATACTAGTACAATACTAGTATTTTGATTCTAACAAATAAACAAACCACATTTTGTGAGTGTACCTTTACATGTACGAAACATTTATTTCCTTTTTTTGCTGCACTCAAACCAACACCATAGCATGTTGTACTGATGTTTGAACTACTTGAACGTGGAAAGTTCTTTCATACGGAAAGTTGTTTGTTATGGGAAAGTTTCCTACTTCTCCAATCCCATTTGGTTATTTACAATTTTAAAAGTAGTAGAACATCAGGGAAGAAACAGAAATTTTAAACTTATTTTTAGTATTAACTGTGACAGTCACACATTACAGTTGTGATAATTAGATCGTTGCCACTTACAGTTGTCATTAGATTGATTTAGCATAACACATTGAGGCCATTCTTGGAAGAGTCGTGGGTGTGTCATGCAAAATTCAGTAGTCTTGTGACAGACAGTGTTGTAGATCCTAATTATAAGATTGGTTCTGTCATATGTAATTTGTAACTTGTGTACACAAACTTTGTGCAATTCAGGGAGTTTTATCCCTGCTGTAAGGTTTGCTTTTCGGTGTCACAAATTGATAAAATCTTTTTTTACATAGCTTTGCTGAATATCGTTTGACAAAAAGGATGTGACCATGCTTAAAGAGAGAAAGGTCCAAGAGTTAACTGTCTACAATACAGTGGGAAGCTTGTCCTATGGAGGCTGTACTAAGTCTTGTATCTCCACCCTGGTCCTGTGGTGACTACAAAGTTGCAGAAGAAGCCCCTCCGCAGCCTGACCTTGCAGCGGGACACAATCAGAATTCCAGATGCCTGTCACGGGTCGATCCCAACATTTATTTTCCCACATTACCTACTTGAAGGGAAGCTTATGGCCTGCATGAAACTTCCATTTCTTCCGGGCCAGTAAACTGTCCCGGCCGCAACGTCTCCGTGATTTATTGACAAGCAATCAATATTTTCCATATTGTTAATAACTTGGATGAAAATCTAGCCTTCTTTTGCTTGTAAAGTTGACTTCTTTGGTGAAGGCTGAAACAGATCTGTTCCTTGAAATCAATGCCGTGGTCATTACTGAGATGAAATTTCTATCAGGACGGCTTGGGAGGGATCGTAGCCAGCTCACAGGCCCATCCATCAGCCACCACCGGTATGAATAAGAGACATACATAAGAGACAAGTGGCATGTCTAGAGTCATATCCTACACTTTAAATTTCCAGATTATTACCAGAAAGGCCAAACTTACTGCAACGTTATAGAAAAATTGTTCCTGTAGAATATTTATCATGCCGTATATATAATGTACTGACTTTGATGGGTGGTTTAAAGTTTTAGTTGTTGAAAAGTTTTGATATCGTGTCAGTAAACTTTTTACTCAAAGATGTGTATGGGGTGTTGCAAATACGCTGCTACATGTAAATGAATAATATTTCAAGGTTAACTTCTTAAAAGGGGCAGCAGGTTGATCATTTTAAATACTCTCAACAACTTTAGAAACTTCTTACTGTTTTCCTATCCTGTAGCTTTGTGAATTGAAGATGCTAGAGATACCTTCTTTTGTCCTTTTTTTCTCTTGAACTTTTTTTCTCTTTTACAATATTCAAGAGTACATGTAATTTAGGAAACAGGCTTATGTACATGTATTAGGTACTTTATACTGTCAACTATTTGGATCAACTAGTTAGGCAGAATTGGGGTCAATTTTCTAGGCAAAAATCACACAATCGCCAGCTACAAGGCTACATGTCAGCTACAAGGTATATAGATTTTACACTCTACAATTACAATTGTGCAGTTGCATGTTTGTGAGTAATTATGCCCGTGAACTTGGAGATGGACAGGTCGACTCCTGGCCATTGTTGCTAAACTAACTTACATGCTACTGGAAGTTTTTGCAGTACTTTGGATGAGACGTTAAGCTGGGGTTCCAAACTTGAAGAAAGCTGTCATACCCATGTTGACAGAAAGTACATTCGAGAAGCAGTGCCAACTGTACAGTTACAGAACTCTTTCTTTTGGCCTAGGGAAATTAAGCATAAAGTCAACTGAAGATACTGTATGTCAAACAGTGTTCTAGAAGCCTGAAATTTTTTTTCCGTCACCTCAGTTTTGTTTGATGTCTCATGTCAAGCTCTGGAGGCCCAAACCTTGGAGGGTCCGTGGGCATGCTACCCCGAGAAAATTGTGAAATCTCTTGAAAGCCCCTGAAATGCTATTTTCTGCATTTTGAAGGGCAGATTTTGCTGGTAGACAAAGCTTCATGACTGTGATGACATTTGCACAATTTTTGTCCGCTAAAGATGACTGATAGATCCAAATTTTTGTCCATTACAAGAAGCAAAATTCTGTCAAGTGGGTGAAAGACGAAAGCTGGCTAGAGCAGTGATGTTGAACCTGCCTGAAACAGATTGGGATTCAGAGCATCACCTAAGGGTGGCGCCTCTACTGCCGGGGTTAAAGGTCACGGGTATGAGGACCAAAGGCAAAATGATGCGGAGTTGCCGTAGGTGACCTTTGGCGAGAAGGGGTCAGGACAATGTAAATTGACTGAGGTTTTGTGGTGTGGCGGGTTCAGGTTATGATGAGTTCTGCATATATAGAGGACTATCACAAGGAAAGATACACAATGTACATGTACCAGGCAGTTTTACTGGTCAAACAATACAGACACTACAGTGAAGTGTGACTGGTCATTTCATATAATATAACCAGCTACCTTGCACTGCTTGCTTGCAAACCTGGTGTGAACTCACACGAAAAGGCTGTATGTTGCACGATACAGATGCAGATTCTGAAGATATGTAATAGTTAGATATAACCCATCGTTCAACTCATAGTACTAAATGTATAATTGATATTCCATAAGATCAGAATGGAAACATGGCTACCTTTAGTTAGATCTCTGAAGAAAGATGCAGAATGGCATCTGAAATGGCGGCAAATTCAGAGAAAAATGTTGTCTCATGGTGTCAGAAGATCACAAAAATGCATTTATATGAATCCCAACACCTGATGGTAGACACAGCAATCTCAAATGACTACAGTACAGATGTACATGTATTGTAATGCTGTATAGCAATAACTTAAAGTTAAACTGTTACAGACGGTAGTTTCTTGTTGCCATTATAGTATCCCATCCACTAATCACTAAAAATCACTAGAAATATACTTCTTTCATAACATGAACATGTCTTTTTACTATTTTGTGCAGGATACAGAAGGTTGTGAAGGACCTTAACAAGCAGCTTCAGAACCAGGGGACAGGACCATGGCAGCAGAACAGGGTCCAGGCCCTGGACAGGACTCTAGGAGAGGCCAGCAGGGTCATGGAGAAAGGGGTATGTATCCAAGGAACTTCATTCTGGCATGTTTGCTCACACTTGCCTTAAATCAACCATATTCTTTTTCCCTGTCAAGCTTGCTGGCAGAAGTGGTTAGTACAGTGTTAGTGCAGGGCTCGAAATAACATTGAAAATTACCTGCACAAGACAAATATTACCTGCACCACTCAGACCTTGAGAAGTATGGATCCTACTAAAATCTGTTCACAAACCATTGCCACTTTTACACTTCAAAATCCACCCATACTTACAATTGTAATACATGTATATATATATGCATTTGTATAAACCCAGTATACATGGACCAGTGCAGGTTATGTGCAGGTAGACATCAAAAATACCAGCACAGCTCCAATTTTACGTGCACAGTATTTGCGATGCACCTGCATTGTACCGGGTAATTCTTTTTTCTACAATAACAATTAACATTATTTACGTGCCCCCCTCCCCTTGTGAAAGTCAGTATGAAACAAAAGTTGCAATGATGAAAAGAGATGATCTTTGGTGCATTTAACATACTACAGAGGAGTCCCCCAAGTGTTGCCATGTTATCTGAACTTCACGTCCTGATATCTGATAGATGTTAATGACAGGAAGCCTGGGTAGTAAAACTGAATGTTAACTTCTCTGGTCATGTGTTTGGTGCATGTGTAGGCCAGTCAAGGTTACAATGGAAGGGCCATACCAATTCAGTTTGCTGCTTCTTGGATTTTGGAAAAAAGTTTATGCTGAAGTTGAATTGGCATATAGAAAACGGAGTCTATTAAAGGGGATGTCCACTGTACCTTTGTACACTTCTTTGATACAGTTCCAGGGAGTTGATATGATTTAAGAATGTAGTTTTCTTCCCTGCCTTTTATCTTCATCTTTACCTAAATATATCTTGGCTTCAAATGTGTTTGAGGAACTTCAGACTGGCATATTTGCTCACAACTAAGTGAATTGAGTGTGGGCTAGGGCAGGTACATGTAGCAAGTCTAACACATCTGGGTCAAGTTTTATTTTCTTGCCCTTGGTCATGATATTGTCGCCTGTAATATACTTTATTCTAGTACATTTGAAGCTTTAAAAATTGTGTCTTGGTCAGTATCAAGATTAAGTAACTAATGGTCATAGAATATGTGACATCTAAATCCACAGGGATTGTGGCAATACATGTAAGTGCTAACCATGTCATGTACATGTACCACAACCCCCATCTACATGTACCTGAAAGAAGTATCACTTTTGAAAAGAAATCTTGAGAGCACCTGTCAAACAATTGTAAGTGCATTTGCATTATGCATATATTCACAGTGTCTAGTGTGTGAAATGTTGACATGATATAGAATGAAGTCCCTTGAAAGGCAGCCCTGTCCAGACTTGGCAGGATGGGAATTTGTAGGACAGTGAGGTTCTACAGATCAGGTCTGTTTAGTCTCATCGCAGGCATGTGGCAGCACTGCACTTGGTACAGTAACTGTACTGTAGGGTTATCCACAAGTCGGGGAGAAAGTGAAAAAAGTGAAAGCGATCTTGAACCAGTTTAGCGAACTGAACTCAACAAAAAGTTGAGCTATTCAACTAAAACATCAGAACTAGTCGGCTATTCTAGCATAAGACAGATGACATTGTGCATGTAGTCCCTTGCAGTACATTGTGAAATTTCAACAATTATACTCATTACTGAGAAACCAACACTGTTAGTATGGATGTTTAGATGCTAAACTACATGTACTTAATACAATGTATCACAAATGCAAATTCTTGACAATGTTTGAAATATTGCTGGAAACGTGGTATACAGAATTTACATGTAATGTACATGTACTTAATGAAGAAGGAGATACATATTCATGCAAAAGGTTTTTATTTTTACCAACTATACCGAGAGAAATCCCCCTGAACTTACATGTACTTTTATTCATTTTTGGCTGACATCTTGCATGAAAAGCAATGTTTCCTTTGCTTGTAAGTCTTCATCCTTCTCTTACCTTGATCATCCCTTGTCATTTGCAGACTTTTTCCTGACATTGAAATGCAGTGATACTACATGTAGTAGGAGGAGAGATAACCATTGAGAAGAAGCACACCAGTTTTCTTCCAGAAAAACTTGCAAATGTACCACTGCTGCATTGCACTTGTGGATAGTGCCATTGCCTGTGGATAATTTTACCAGTAACCCCAAAAGACTGAGTGTGGATTTCCGTTAAATCAGAGAATAATTGCATCCATGTACAGAGGCATTGATTTTGGTGTGTTTGTTTTGTTTCTTGTGTGTCCATAGTTACTTGAATACACTAAAGTCACAGGAAATGAGGGGGAGTGGTATAACCACAGACTGACAGGAAGGTCAAAATGGTCTCCCTTCAGGCTGGAAGGATGTGCACTATGATACACATTTTTCGTGGATAAGATTTTAATGAAGAAATATAAAGTTGAAATAATTCAAATTGACATTCAATATGAGACAGTTATCAATGTCTTAATGCTATAGCTTACATTTTGTTATTTCCTTTTAAAGCTCACTGATCAGAAATTGTTTTCAATCTTTTAATCTTCTTGTCGAGTGACACAGTTATTTTCTGCAGTAAATGTCACTGTGTTACTGTAACAGTGACTTTTGTCAGATGTTCACTAACAAGCTTGGCACACACTAACTACATTTATGCAACTTATCTGATCATGTCACCCACCCCCACTACCCAAAGTAAACAGCCTAGTCAAACTATTTATTTAGGCAAGAACAATTTAATTCCTTGGTTCTGACGATTGGAACATGATACTAAACTGGACATGAAAGCAGAGTCTGATTAGGGGAGGAAGTTCAGGGAGTGAAGGTAGTCAGTCAGATTCAACGGATATTAAATTCATCCAATGCAATTACAGGGTGGCAAGACTGGATTTTCAAACTCAATTTTCTGGTCATTCTTTTATTGTAGTAAGTTGAATTTATCTTTTCCCATAGAAAACCTCATATCTGTGAGGTAAAAATGTGTTCTCCCTGATGGGAAATGATTCCTTCTTTGTATCAAATCCTGGTAATACATGTAGGTATTTATAGGTGGTACCCAAAAAAACTATCCTCACGTAGCCTATTTGAGGTTATTTCAAAAGTATGACATGATGACAAAAATGTGCTTAAGAAATGGCAGTAAATGTCAATATCAGATTTCCTAATCAAGAATATTTTTTGTTTTGCCCCCGGAAATTTCATTGGATGCCTTTAAGTTCTATGTACACAACTCCACATAATTGGTCCTGGTGAGATACAATGGACTACCTAACTTCTCGACCTTCCTGTTTGGGTCAAAACTTGACCAACATTAATAAGTCCCAGGAAACTTGTTACTGTAGTACATGTGTTAGATCTAGTCTGTCATGTAACAAACAGGCCAGCTCTACTGGGACTGTTGTGTGCAGCACACATGCTGCACTCACTACCAGTACCTTGGAAAATAATATTTTATAATTTTATTATGTTCACTGACATCATAAAGAAAAGGGGAGAGTTCTACCTGCATCCTATAGGCATGTACTACATGAACATGTTTTGTGTGTCCATGTTTTCTTACTTGTCCTTTACAGATGTACATGTTTTACCAACCTGTATATACAATGCTTAGCCATTAAATTGATGAAAATACCCTTTACATTCCTTAAAGTCTTCAACAAGAAAGAAACAAAAATGTTTCTGCCCATCTTAATGACCATAAATATGCTGTAGCTTTCAAGAAAAAATGTTTGAAAAAATATTTGCTCATGGTCATGCAGGTGCACCACAATGTTTTGAACTCTGACCTTATCAGATCTGTCATTAGATACACTTATCCTGTTGTAGAGCAGTACTGTTATTTTAAAAATATGCATGTACATGTAACATTACACAATGTACATGTGTATATAATTAAGTGTTCTCAGTGAAACTCAAGGGTGACTTGTTTTGAAATTTTGATCATACTATATGCATCAGACGTTACATGTATTTCGCAGTGACTGTCATAATGCAATCTTGACAATGCAAAATTTTTACATCTTGTCTGAAATGATAGCTTGTTTTGCCTATTTCATATGGAAAATTCAAAGAAACAAACGTGTACACAAACCCTGTAACTGTTGTATTTTCTGTGTGATTACAGATTGCCTCGGACAAGCAGGTGTTCCGCAGCTGCGGAGGGATGACATCCCTGTCCCGACTGCTGTTCCTCACTGAGACCAACGGAGATGGCAAGCCACCTGTTATCCCAAACAAGTAGGTGTACTTTGGATGGCCGACATATTGAATTAGATATCACATGGCAACATACAGGTTGATATGCAAAGTTTAATGACACACAGGTAGATTGTCACTCAGTCAGTAGCACAGGACAGGACCGGTTTGTGAATTGAGGGTATTCTTGGGACAGCCATTTTTACAAAATTCTAGTGACAGAAATATAGACAAGTAGATGTAAGAGGCCAGTGAATATAAAGCACAGTTACATTGTACATTCAAACATTTTCATGATAACACCTGAGATGCAGCATGTCTGTGTGCCAAGGTTCAAAAATGCATTTACATGTACATGTATGTATTCTTTTTGCTTGCAAAACTTACATCGCAGAAATAGAACATCATCAACTTGCAACTTTGGCAACTTTGGAGCAAGAAGTATACAGGCTAGGTAATACAGGTTGCAGATGAGGGATATTTCATTTCCTGCTGGGACCATTAGATATACAAAACTTGTACATACAAATGTATACACCTAATGTACTGTATGGTGTATATCCACCAGTTCTCCCCAAAATGTGACTTTGTCAATCAACCAGCCTGGTTAAACAAACATAATCTGTTCCCACCCTAGTTATCCATCCCCAGTCTAGCCCAAACACACCATCCTGCACAGTCTTTGTCCTCAGCCACAGTTTTGTCTAGAGTTTCACCTGGTAATCCGCCTGGCGTCTCAGCCCTTCCCCTCTTGTTGTTTTTTTCCCTGTCTTCTGTTGCCACTAGATTAAGAGAGTTCGGGCCCTAGCTATTTTCACAGATTATACACTGGAAAATTTGTGGATTTCTGACTTTCTTTAGTGCTACTTAAAAAGATATACTGACTAGTAGTTGCACCATTGAATTCCACATACCGGATGAGAGAGATGAATTAGGTAACAGACTTTCAGTGTGCAAGTTATACTTTGTTTAACACATTCTCATGTGCTATGTGGAAGTAACATACTCACCTCAGATAGCAGTCACATGTATCAGGTCAGGTCTTGTTGGTATCACCTAACAGTACTTTTTGGCAATGCCTTTGGGGTGGAGCACTTGACTGTAGTGTCATGATTTGGTTTCAAATCCATCATAATCTTTCTAGTGCTGCAGTTTTTCCCCAACTGAAAAACCCTTGACAAAAGTATGCCTAATATATAAACATTTTTGATAATCATTACATTTTTGAGAAATAAAACCATTTTTTACTTTTTTGTCATTTTACTGCACTCTACCATATAGCAAGGGAGAATGGTTATTATCAAATTTTGTTTTATGTTGGTATAGCCTAAATGTACAAGGAAGCCATACATGTACAAGGAAGCCATTACCAAAGAGTGTTTTTACTGCAGGTCCTTAAACCTGGTGGCGTCTGTTTACGGGCTGGCCTGCGCAGGGCTGGAGGAAAACTGTGTGTACGTGCTCCTGAGTAACAAGATTGCATCAGTGGTCGATGCCCTATCACATCAACTCATGGTAGGTGCCATCTCCTATGTCTTCAGGCAAAGCTCTCTCAGTTCCGTGGAATCCATCATTATAGCCGTATCAATACTGATTTATATTGTAAGGAAACAGAATATTCAACATTTCTCTGCCATTCTGTGAATTTGGTTGAATTGTACCTAGTCATGTTTTTTGTTGTCTGACCTATGTATAGATTCATGATTGCATTCTTTTCATACTCACAATTTTGTTTCCATATGTAAGTGTCAATACCGTGGTATTAACAATCACACTTATCAATTTCTTATGAATGTCTTGATACGTCATTATCTAATAGCTGCTTGCCAGCAAAAGTTTTGGGTCACTATCATGTTGACAAACTGTGGCCAACAATGCAGCAAGAACCATCTGAGTGTACACAATACACAGTCTACCTGACCATCTATCAAACAAAACAACAAGGCCCAGCACGCTTGAGAAACCTCCTGCTATTGGCTGTGAATGCCGACTGTTGCGTATGTTTGGATAAGCACTTGTTCTTTCCACCCACGGGGATCTGAACTTCAATGCGGGCAAAAATCACAATTTCATACCTGAAAAGATTTCTATGAGGCTCCAAGCGAGAGCAAAAGGTCACAAATGGCATGTCATTGTTCGGTACAAAGGTGACGTCTCAGATGACATAATTAGCCCCGGTTCTGTCACGACGTGATGAATTAAAGTTGTGTCAAGTAATTCCTTCCCGCCAAACATGTTTCCTCGTCCAGCCCTCAGGTGCTGGTGATGTGGGCCAAAAGGCCGTGCCAGAGTTATGTTGCATGACCGCCAGACATTGTGCAGTAATTAGCAGTGGTCAAGTTACTGTAAACACAAGTGTGGTGGGAGGGAAAGTTATTGTGTCCCCCCAAGGAGACAGGAAAAGGGAAAGTTGATTTGATAAGAGCAGTAAACATTCACTGACTTCACAGTATGAAAGTACAATATTCATAGCATGACATGAGGTATACACTTGTATCTGTATCACTAGTAGGTTTTAAGCAGGTTTTCTTGTCAATTCCTGTGTGGAAAGTAGACCTAGTGATTTCTTTGTTGAAGAGAGATTTCTGCCACTTCAAATATGTGTAAGTGGCCATGCAGTGCATATTGTAAACACTGTCTGTGGTTTTGAAAAAATGATTTCTCCTAGACTTAGTACACATTTTTCACCTGAATCCAATGAAGAAATTGGTGTTAAGTGCCTTTCCAGTGCAAAGGCACAACATTTGGACACACAATACAAATGCACATGTAGAGAGGGATTCAAACCCAGAACCTTTGGATCAATATCCCTTGACATGTGAACTTTATCTCAAGTAACCACTTTATATCAATATCACATTCCTGCACAATTCATTGGTTGCTGGAGCATGAGTTCAACTTTAGTAGAATCCAGGAATCTTTAATTTGAAATTGAAGAATTTGTCATGAAAAGAGTAGATCAGATGTGATAGATTCACTCTTGGTATGGCAACTTAAAGTTCAGTACATCAACATGTGCTCTTATCCCCATCTTACACTAGCTTGAATTTTCAACATGGTGACAGACACTCTCTCTGTGCCCCTATTCAGACACAGCTGAACATCGCCTGACCTTGGTTTTGACGCAAACAAATGTTTACGATTTAGGGGTCAAGAGAGCACAGTCTCCACTTGTTTGTGTAAATATTTACATGTGACCAAGGCGTCCATGATGGCACAGGTCACAGTTGACAATGCACATTAGCCTTTCTAAGATAAACCTTGAGAACTGTAGAGCGATTTGTAACTGTTTAAATTCACTCACTTACCAACGGTGAACCTTGCTTCCTCTTCATATTTCAGTCACATTGTACGCTATGATGCAAAGCCTGTCTGGTATCTACTGATACCCTCCTGTCAAGCCCAGTTTTCTTGACACCCCACGCTTTTTCTTTCCAGTGACTGATTGCCCTTTTCCAGAAGAAGGTGGTATAACATCCTAAAGCTCTCAGGTTAGCTTAAGTGTCCTGGGATTTCACTCTTTCATCCATGAAGAGAAATATGTCAGTCAGCTCTACATTCCTCCCCATTTGCTTTTAGCTAAAACTTGTGCTACCCATTAAGCTAAAAGCATGCTGTAGTACTCTTGGTATTTGAATGTTGATACTGTGCACTTAAAATGCATTATTTCTGTTTGAAGTTTCTTCTCCTTGCATCACTTAGGGGCACGTTGCCTAATGGACAGGAAGAGAGGGTATTGGTATGTCTGTTGAAAGGCTTTTACTCAAACTTAAACATTATCCCCGTGCATTTCTACCTACTTCCATAATGTGTATATCTTGGGAGGCTTCTGGCCACCAGGCCAGTTTGTGGTCGGGGCAGCCCAGGTACAAGCTGTGTGTGCCGTACGGCAGCAGGGGCATGGACGGGTGGCAGCACGGTGCTGGGAAAGTCAGCAGGATCCCGATGTTAACAACGTGTACTCATCTGATCATCCCAACATGGGACAAGCACCGGGGCAGGGCAGGTGGTGCGTTCATCTACAACATGGACGAAAAACCACTTCAGGTGTGACCAGCCAACTCATCCAACCAGGACGGACAACCTGCGGGATGTTACCTGGTGATGAGAGTTGTTCCTCGTGGCTAACCTGTCCCGGATGCATCTGCCTCTTGAAGTCACCACTTACCATGTATGATTATACGGTCACATGCAGCTAATGATGGGAAGTGTCTCCTACAGTGTTGTTGAGTGGCTGAAGTGATAACTCACTCTGATCATGGCCAACTTTCCACAGGAGGTTTCTTGGTAAGGAGTTCTGTAAGGAACAGTTTAAGTCTACCCCAAGAAAGTTAGTTGGATGTGTGAGATATTGATACGAATGCACCATGATTCCAGACCCTGCTGCCCGAAGTGTCTAGCCCGCTGACCGGCAGTGGAGGAGCGCGTGTCCAGCTGCCCAGCGACCCGGTGGCCATGAGCCTGATGCAGACCTTGTCCACCATTCTGGACTGCCTGGCCAGCCATTACACCAGCAGGCAGGCCAACAGGACGGCCACTACCGGGACTGACCTGGACACTCTGATTGGAAGAGGGTACGACCTTGTCAGGTAAGCTGATTAACTGGAGCTATACTGCTGCCTGTTTTCTTAACAACCTAAAGATAATCCTTGATTTGTTGACAGAAATCATCAGTGTCATTTTTCACATACTTGTGCCATTGATTAGATGCATCAGTAACTGTATCAATTTTGATATGTATTCTGAACAGACAGTGCTGCAAATGTAATAATGATTGCTTCTTTAAATGCTAGTAGAGTAAGATAATTGTTATCTAACAGTGCAAAATGTTTGTCAAGCAGACTTGAGGAACTCTGGAGAAGTAGAAACTTTGAAGAAAGTGGAAATTTTACCAAAAGAAAGCAGTACAGCCCAGCCTAAGACAATCTTTTCTTTTTACAAAACTGCAGAACTTCAAAAGATTGAGCTTCAGTGCAAAACTCTGTGGCTCTGATGTTCACATTGACTACATTCTGTATGCTACAGTATAGATATCATCGGCATTCAAGTTCAGTGGTTAGAAATAAGGAAGAAATCTTTGCTACTCACAGACAGTCTACGTATGGCTCATCTCTATTGCAATTATGAGTCTCAGATGGAGAATGATAGTCCATCAGTCCTGGGTAGGGGAGTTATGTACATGTAGTAGCAAAAGTAGTTTTAGCTTAATTTTATGCTAATGAGAGGGTGCCTAACTGCCTTTTTTTATTTAGGTTTAATCAACTGTTTTGATTCTACATTCTTCCCTATTGGACAAGACCACACTAACTCAATGTAAAGCATACACAGTGCCCTATTAGTTGAGTGCAGCAACTGGTAATATGATATGCAAGGAATGTTTCTGAATTTATGGTTATGAGTAATGAGTGACTAGAACTCTAAAGTACAGTAATCCATAAGTGCTATCCAAAAATCAAAGTTTAACAGTTCTGTTAAAAGTTAAAATCTTTGCTGTATTTCGAGTTAGAATGCCTTGGAACACATGTACATGTACGTCATACACTGCCTATTTGAATGGGAGGGATATATGTAGATAGATTCTTATGAATATGAATATGATAATTCACTTAAGGAGGGATTGGCCACAGACCACAAAAATTCCATGTATCTTTTTTACGCATTTCAAAAATATTGAGAGACATAGACATACGACATAGACATCCATGTAAGACATCACTGGCTTTTACTTGTTCTACCTAATGTCAAGTACTTTCAGGCAATATATCAACAAAGTGAATATTTCCAGGGATGTTAGAATGGTTACATGTTTCATTCATTCACTCATGGGTACATGTAGTATATCTTCAGATTTGCTTCAGACATGCTCTTAAGATTTTGTTTTGAACCATGAATCCAACTTCTAAGTAGCATACATGCCAAAACCACACTGTTGCACTCATCTGGAATAGTGAGTTTTAGAGAAGATGTCTAAACTGTTATGTTTTACATTGTCTCTAATGTTCAATCTTTGTTTCAGTACTTGGGGCACTTGTGGTTGATACGATAGTGGGAAACTATATGGCGTAACATCAACAATAAACCTGAATGATTTATTGTTTTCTATTTTACTATTTTACTACACTGATAATTTTTCTAAAAAAAATTCTCAGAAACATCTGCATACAAATGTCTAAGATAAAGATAAGCCATATTATATAACCAGTTACAAGTAGAATGAACTACATGTAGCTTTGTGTCAGTATTTGCTCACCTCACGTTGCGAGACATGCTTACTGATTTCTTGCCCCCATGTTGCTAGGCTGCCATATGTGATCCAAATGGCTTTGAAAGAAAAATGGGTTCTAAATGGCCTGGTAGGCCAACTTATGTGCGCAGACATATTCCATCTGAAAGGTGCTTTTAGCCGTGTCCTCGTGACTGAAATAAAAATGGACTCGGATGCGCACAGATACAGAGGATGAGATGGGGGGCTTAGCCAGGCTATCTGTAGAGTAAAAGGTTTTTCATTGGACGGAAGGACACCAGTGCAGGGATGAAGTCATACATATGGGATGGGCAGGTGTGCTGCCTGGAGGTCTTAGCAGTCTGCACAGAAAGTTTGAAAATTTCTCTTAGTTTGGAACGGATTTGAGTCACTGTAGCGAGGTGGACTAGCTAATATGAGCAGGAGATGCAGTGCTGATGTAGTGCGTGTACCCACACGGTGGAAGTAAGCTAACATGCCAGGTACGCAGCGGCTGAGTGCAGATTGGACTGGATGTACTAAAAGCTTGAGTGCGTGCCGGGATAACCCGCGGACCCGCCACGTGGCTCGCCATACGAAAGCTTAAGAGCGCCTACTTGGAAAGCAATTCACACAACTTTAGAGGCCCTACCTAGAACACTTACCAACGTGGTCAGCCCGAGAGTGGCTGTCAATAATATTTGAGCAGTAACTGTTGATGGTAAGATTATTTGTACAGCTTGTCAGGATATGTATCATAAACCCACCATCATCGTGTTTATATTGAAACACTATGGTTTCATACAGAAAACAAGATCATCCTAGCTTAAGCACTCTAATAAAAACTGGTAGCAGGTAGGATTTGGATACTCAGGCCCTGCAACAAGGAGAACATGGCGGACATGGGTACTGTCCGTGGTGCTAGAACAACTCCACACACAAAACTCCAGTGTATCCAGCGCATCCAGACAGATTTAGAGCTACACGAGGTTGATGCACAGCGTTGGAAAAAGTGCTCATCAGGAGCAACTTAGCAACTGGAATAGTGCCTACAGGACACACAAGTAGCTTTTAGTGGTGCCCTTTGGAGCAGCCAGGTAATGGCCTGTGGTAAGAGGTCTTATACAGACATCCATTAGCTGCGTGCGTCAGTGCTTCCACTGGCTACTTTGGCAAAAGTAAACCAGTGCTCTGTTTCTAGCTCCCTGTTCTCGGTATAGTGTGGCATTCTCATTCGCACTGCCAAAAAATTGGTACATACTTTTGCTCCATTGAAAGGTTGTTTTACTTCAAATTTGTGGTGAAGAAAATGTCACTTGGGATTCATTGAATTTCTCATTCTCTTGTTAAAGAAAGTTTAAGTTTTGACTAAAAGGAAGAAACATTTCATTGGTGCAATTAAGGATTTTAAGAATGGACTTAAACTGTGTCTTTTCACATCTCTGATAAATGTTCAGACCACTATCAGTGTTGTTTTCAATGACTCAATGCCAGAGGAATTTATTGCCGTACACAAAGTAATAACATTGAGGTACAGTATATATACAAACTGCACATTTCTGTTGCTACCAAATCTGTCCAGTGACTAAAGTGGAAAGTTATGAATGTAGGCATAGAATAATAAACTCTATAATGTACTAGATCATAGTATAATGTTTTTCCGTCCTGTTGATGTATTGGTTAATTGTGACTATATTACACTGGCTTTGAAATACATTCCAGAGAGTCAGAGACTTTATATTTCTACTGCTCATCCATCTAAGTGTAGTACATTCTCTACTTCTTGTGAGGAAAAAAAAACAAATAAAAAATGCCAGAAAACATGACTAGTGTTCCCCTGGCCCAGCAGCTGACAGATATGGGTTTGAATTGTGCCATGGGCTATCAGCAGCTATTTGTAACCCATAAACTAATGCATCTGTGGCACATTCCATCTAATGGACATGCTTTGTGTCAGGGTGTCAGCTCCGAAAATTCCTGGTGGTAGCAGCCTAAACAAACCGTCAGCCAGGACCTACCGCTGCAGTGTTAGAGTTGGAGGAAGTTTGGTTAATACCTTGATAAGGAACTTGGAACTTGGTCTGGACTTTGTCACAGTCAACTACAAATAAGGCTGGTGGTGTCAGCACACTTCTATACCACACAAACCTGGAGTTTCATCTTGTATGGAAGTTTTTACTTCACTTTCTGGAAAATCAAATAATTATTAGATCTACATGTGTAGTAAGTGAAAAGCACTTTTAGAAATCTGTACAATGTGTTACCTGCATTCATACTGAACAAGAAAGTCCAAGAAAAAAAAAGAATTTTTTCATAATTGTCAATGATATTAGCGCATCTAGAAATCAAATCTTGTCTAACCGAAGAAAGTTGTTTCTGTGAGGATTTAGGCTTGGCTCTTCCTCTTACTTCTCATTTGTTCTTAATATAGTATTAGACATTCTTCCTGTAATAAATATTTTCTGTCCAATAGAAATAGAGCTTTGAAAAAGTAAAAAATATGTGCAATGTACAAATCTACAATTACCTGCACTGTTTGATAGCACCACATTTCTTGATTGTTTCAATAACATATTACCACAAGGATGTCAATTATGATTTGTTTTGTAATATCAAGAAATATGAAAGCATAACAATACAAGTAAACAGTGGTTTGTTGCTTGGTTGTATACAGGTATATATCAGTGTGCACTCAGGTACAACAAAAATCTGTGAAGAGCTGACATTCCAATGTCAAACAAAGCATAAACAATCTGTAAATTGACACAAAGCTGTGTAAATTATCCAAGTACAGGAATAACACTACCAGGGAGACAGCAGTATCATGTTTCAATGATTGAAAATATCAGTCTTTGAAGCCCATGTATGACCTCACTTTAATATTTTTCATATAAGAAAATGACAAAAGTGTCTCTAATATGAGCAAAGGAACTGTTAGAATAAGGCCAAATCATGCAAGGTGGTGATTATGGGTTTTGCTGAGATAATGAAAAAAATCTATTCCTGGAAAAGGAATGATTTTAACAGTGCCAATTGTACTACAATTCTGGTTCCTTTCTGTCATAGCACACTGTATATTTGGACATTTTTGCAGTGTTTTCACTTGCACAGTTTTTGTGGTGACCTCTGCCCACAAATTCATCACAGTTGTGTAACTTCCATTGCTTTATCTAACTCAAAGATACAACAAACTAATTTTCACAGTGCCGTCAAATTTAGATGCTGCAAATTTAAACAAGCTTACAGTACATCAGTCCCTTGTACATGTACCTATATCGGTGCATCTCCACCTTGAACAGCAGAAGTTTATCTAAACTGTACACCAAAGCGTCGACTTTGAACCTTTCCAATATATCAAGCTCCCCAAATCCCTTATTGTTGGTCATGGCCCAGGTTGCCCCAACAAGGACGTTGTTGTGTAAATCAGTTGGCGTGCTGCGTGTGTGTTTGGTCCCGCTCCAAACTATTCCAACTATCCTATATACAAAACCAACACAAATTATGGCGATGTGTACGGCTTCTAAAAGGTCCTGTGGACTTTGTTGCCACCTGACCCCAGAACCTCATTTCCCCTACAAAGTCAAAACACAGAAATATTGTGGAAGATGTGACCCTGGGGCTATGCTGCAGCCCTGGCCGCTCTGATCAACTGTTTGTATTGGCACCACCTTGTTACAGTCTTAGCATGTGTTTACTTACTAGATCCAAACCTGTTCATATTGCTGCAGTTATAGCCTTGCTTTTGTGACAAATTTGAGGAAATTTCTCCTAGATACTAGAAAGATATTAATATCTGTAAGAATACAGGTACGCATGTATAATGTTATATGTATGTCTGTATCTATGAGCTATACCTGGATTACCAACACCTGCGACTTCCAAACCTGAATTACCATGACCCCAGACAGAAATAAACAGGAATGAAAGCTGATATTTTGGTATGTTTGGGCTGCAATTGTCCCGTCTAGCTGCAGAGACTGAACCATGATAGCAACACTGTGAATGTCAAGGTTTTATCTCATCTGTAATCTAACCTTTGGGTTGTTTTCCCCTTTTATCTATGGTAAGGTAAAGTTTGGGATCTGATGTTATCGCTTCTCAAAGACTTTTTTCAGGACTTGTTTTTCTAGTAAGTTATTCTTTTTCAGCAGTAAATTTACATTGCACACCAAGAGAAAAAATTGAATTCTTTGTATACATATGTATGTATATTGAAGATATTACTCGTATGCAAAGATAGACATGAAAGCGTATTGTTACATTTCACAATAACCTCCAATTATTTGATATCACACATTGTATAACCCTGAGTTCAGGGCTCTGTATTGTTTAAAGTTGAACACCTTCTACTGTACTTTTCAGGGCTGTCAAACAAAACAAGCGCAGAATAAAAGTGGTAACTGTATAGCAGGGAATGGCTGGGGTAACTGTATATTGTTCAACTGATATGTGTAATTGCCCTTTACTGTGAAACTTTCAAAAAGTCTTTAAAACCAATACCTGATAAATAAATACAACTACATGTACACAAAGTCAAGTCAAGAAAAACATCCTGATATCAATGAGTTTGGGAAGAAAGTACAAATGTATCAAATGTATCAACCATTAATAGTCTAATAATGCATGGTGACCGTTTTCAGCACCAAGGACAGCTACTGGTATAACAGAGATACTGTAGTTAAGAGAAGATGTCCATAACATCTGCTGGAATTCAGATACATAATTATGGAGAAGGCAATAAAATAAATTTAGGTGTAGCAGAAGACCCTGCATTTTTCTTTGTTTACATATAATGTCATGTATTTCAATTGGTACATGTACAGTTCCTGTCTGTGACTGTGTGCATCATATGTTAAAAGTACTTAAGCAAAAACAATGCGTTGGAGGGTGTGATATTTACATAACATTTCAATTGTGATGTGCTTGTTAAAGTACTAATAAATCATCTCAAACTATCAAGCTGTCAAGGCACTCAAAGTGATGTGCAAATTGTTTCTCATTTTGTATAACCTAGTAATATGTCATTGTTTTCTGCAGTACAAATCTGGACACATCTGTTCAAAGATCACTGTCTAATACTAAAAGCAGATGACCTTAGAAAACTCCAGTATCTTCAAAATGTTGTGCATACCTTGCTAATCCTTGTGGGTATCTCCTTTCACAGCTATGTGGTGAGTGTGGGGATAGTGGACAAGCTGTCTCAGTACTTTAAGAGTGTGCGAGGGCCCATCGACCAGGACCTGAAGGCTGCAGAGTTCCTGGGGAGTGGAATGGGCCTGCTGGCCTCCATGAACAAATTTGTATCTTCTCTTGGCAAGTAAGTTGATCATGTCCTTCTGTAGCATTTGAGAGTCATGGTTTGAACACCAGCCTAATATGTCAGATTGTCCTTTTATAATAACAATTGCAGCACCTTTTCAGTTCTGCAAGACTTTATAATACCAAGATGTTACATCAGAAGTGCCCTATTTCTACATTGTAGCATTGTGTGCCTTTGTGTGCATATTGTTAGCTTCTTCACATAATTTTAGCAAGCTGATACAAAGTTTTAATTTCTAGTGGAAAACCAGGTAATCCTAGTACAGTTTTATTGGTAGTGTTACATTATAGACTGTCTCTAAAAGTTTCTGTACAGTGTGATTTGTCATTGTGTAGATCAAACAGTGAAAAGGGTCCAAAGAAAGACGACACGACCCAGCTGATCCACACCTACAAGGTGACAGAGTTAGTGGGGATTGTGTCTCTACTGTACGGCATGCTGCTCCACAGTGGTGCCCCTGAGAGGGGCCCCTCCCCCCCTCCAGAGGCCTTCCCCCCTCACACCCTCCACGTGGCCACCATGGGCATCAGGATGCTCAACAACATGGCTGGACTGGACCTCAACATGTTACAGGTAAGCATTCGTCTATCTAAGCCAACCCTTCAAGTTGTAGCAATTACTGAACCCAAAGGTTGAGGGGTTCAAATCCCGACTCACTGACTGGTATGTTACTGGAAGGGGGTACAGTCCTTCAGATGTGACATCAAGAGAGAGGTCCCGTGTTTGAGGAGAGACATGCCTCAAACACACTTTATGATTCCCCCACACTTTGAGGATAAGTGAACAAGTGAGTGTTGTAGATAATTTATAGGCATTATTACTGCAATAGCACAAGGGACCAAAAAAATTTCCTTCACAATTTATTTCCAAATATGAAATAACATCTCACAGCCATATCACAACTATACAACTATAGTCATTTGATTGGCAAAATGCAGAACATAAAATGTTGTAATGTAACAATCATATTTTCATACATGTGTACCAAAATATAAAACTACTGTACAGCTATATCATTCCTGAATACTCTTCATGAAAACTTGCTGCTCTAAATTCATAAGACATTTTCTCTTATAATAAATCATCTAATAACATTGCTATTCCCATAGAACTATAATGGTAAAAGCATTTTTGCAGCAGACATAGCTTTAGGTAGAATTCTTATTGATTGCACAGCTTGCCTAATTCTCGTAAGTTTATGAGACACAAGAGTCTGCCATGGATACTTTTTTCCTTGAAGCAATCTTCAAGTTGACAGTTGCTAGCTGCTAACATTTAGCCATAGGTTTCAGAATGCAATAAATCAAATCAAAGCACTAAGAGCTATTTCAACCCTCTGGAGTTGTAATGTGGCAGTAGTTTTTGTATACACAGGTGGCATAATATGAATACTACTCCATTAGTACAGAGTAGACTTGCCAGGCATTGTACATGCAGTGTTACATACAGTTCAGTCTTGTTGAGAGTTAGCATGTACAGTCAAACCAGTCTATAGTGGTCGTCTGTATCACTTGTTGGCAAGTTCTTAAAGAAAATAGTCGCAGAAGACAGGTGGGCGCTATATACAGGATTCTGAATGCTTGGATCCATGGCAAAAATAAGCAAACTGAAGGGACTGTTATGAAGTGGCCACAATGGTGAAGTGGTCCTTATGCAGTACAGGTTTGACTAGCTCCTGTCAGTCAGCATTTCTAGTAGACATGTAGGCAGTACCTGTTTTCTGTCTCATGCCTACATTGTACAAGTAGCCAAGGTTGGTCAGGAGTGGCAGGTGCTGTTGTCCAATATGCTGTGATCAGACTAAACTCGGTAAAGAGCCGGCGGTATAAAAGCTACTTAAGTGCTGCCAGAGCCAGCAATCTTCCTCCCTGAAACCACCTGCTGGCTGTCGCCACTTGCATCTTCGGTAATTTATGTTTAATGTTTTGCAAATCACCACATCATCCCCCAGGAAATATAGCCTACCTTATATGGCACTGACATTTCTCCTTGAGTAAGCAGAGATTTGCCGTAATCCTTCTTGTGTAAGCTGAGAAATGCATGCCACCTGGTATGGGCCGATTCGCCGGCAATGTTTCACTGTCAGCCACCATCATGATTAGTTCCTGTATTAAACCACTGCCAGCCTGCGGTTCATGCGTATTCTCGCGCCATTCATCATTTCAGCGGAGACGGGAACGACAGTTCCAGTCAGAACTCTCTCTCCCGCTCTCTCCCACAACTGTAGTTAAGCCGCTACATATGTTGCCTTTCTGCGCCGTTCAGGACATTCAAGATGTCTCCACTATTTTAGAAGCCAAACATCAGGCTAAGTGGACTTGGCAGGTAGTAATATACCCCTTTGATTGGTAATTACTACAGGGAGGAGCATGTAGTTTGAAGGTAATTTTCCAGAGTTCCCCGTTGGTGCCCAAAATTGCTAGTTCCATTTGGGCTTGACCCGCTGACCCGCCGCCTGTGATCCCTTCCGCAGTAAAATTGCAGGTGTATTAACATGTCCATTATGGTGTTTGGAGGGGCTCGGTAGCACGTGGGTTACAGATGTGCCCCGGGATGAGACCGGACAGGTGTGACTGGACAGGTGTGTCCGGAATATCAATGGACCTGTCCGTACCCGGAGATGCACCGGTACCTGTATAGCGAGTCAACCTTATCTATCATAAAACATATTCTTAACACAAGTTAATGGTACCTTTGAAGTTCTACCTCTTATAGACCCACTATTGTTCAGATGACGGGTCTACCATTCACACAGTGGGAATCCCTCTTCTGTATTCTGGCAATGTCATCCTCTTTTAGTGGTTTCGTTCTCTGAATATGACATCCAGGCTGGCACACTGTACAATATTTCTGGCTAGCCAAGGCTTTATATGAATTTGTTTCTAGCATTGTGAATGGAAACACAGACAGAATGTCACGAGTTTCTAATGGCTTTACTTACTGGTGAGCTAAGATAAGGTCAAGGTCAGTAGCAACAGCAAATCTCCAAGCAGATGTGTGTAGGATCCAGCTTGTCTTAGGTTGTTTTTGTATCATTTTCTAGTCTTTCTAGTTGTCTCCTAGAGGAAGATGTTGACCTCTAGAAAGATATAGAAAACATGCCACAAAACACAAGTTGACAGGAGATTGGTACATTTTGTCAACTGGAAAAAATATATTTGCCTCTGCATATACCAATATGATGACCCTTGTTTTGTGGTGAATCATGAAGTACAAAAAGAAATATTCGTGCCCCGTAATTAATATGCATCCAATGGCCTATACATGTATTTGTTATTGTATACCTGTATGTGTTGAAAATAGAACAAGAAATGAAATTTGTCTAATTATTACCTTCGCCAAGAAGGTTATGTTTTCAGGGGCGTTCGTGTATGTGTGTGTGTGTGTGTGTGTCTGTCTGTCTGTCTGTCTGTAAACACGATAACTTGAGAAGGCCTTGATGGATTGTCTTGATACTTGGTAGGTGGGTAGGTCTTGATGAGACCTCAAAATGATTAGATTTTGGGCCCCCTAGCGGCTTGTTATGGTACTGCAGCTGAACTTCCGGTTTTGATATCTCATGATCTAGACATGCTAGAGTGACGAAATTTGGATGGTAGGTAGCTCTTGTGCTGGGGAAGAAGTGACGTGAGTTTGGGCCCCCTAGCGGCTTGCTCTAGAACTGCAGGGATATATTCTTGAAAATATTCAAAAGGGGATAACTCAAGAACCGATTGACGGATCGTCGTGTATTTTTGGTATGTAGGTAGCTTACGCGATGTTTAATATAATTATGTGACAATTATGCAAATATGGATGTAATTTGCATAATTTATGGGGAAATTCTATAAATCAGCTGCATTCCATGATAGGACAATTGAAGCTTGTGACATTGGTAATTGACAATGAGAGAAACACAGGAAGATATTGATTATGTTAATAATGACTTAATTTGCATAATTAATGAGAAAATTTTATAATTATGTAATGATAACTGCCTGGAATTTCATACTTGTGGTATTTGAAAGTTTAGTTGAGGTGAACATCATTAAACATAATTTATTCAAATCAGGACCTCATTTGCATAATTTATTAGGAAATGCTAGAATGCATTGTTTGTTAATATAAGCCTGTCTTTTGGTTGAGATTATGATAAAATGATATAATTCATGAAAATTAGGTTCCTATTTCTTGAATCAGGGGGGAATAATCTAATGTATAATTTGTCAGTCATAAAGTTTAACATCATTTGGCGAAGGTATGAGATCGGGGAACTCTAGTTATTATTATTTTAACATATATAGTAAATTCCATGTAAACATTGATTCACATATCATTGTGTGAATAATTTTTTTGACCAATATTTTTATTCGATTCATAAATTGGCCAGCTCAAGGGTCAGATGTCAAAGATAGTGCCAATATGCCAATATGTAGGGATCACTTGATAGGGCAAAATTTACATATTAAAGAGTAAGAACTCTAGCATTGAATTAGAAAATGGTTTCTTTTTTCCTTTCCTTTAAATTACCAACCCAGCATTGAAGTCGTGAAAATGTCCAATAACTCATCAACCCTTCAAACAATTACTGTAGGAACATCCTTACCAGATAGCTTCAGTGTTTGGAATGTGATATATGCATTTCCAGTTGAACAACACAGATGCAGATACAGACAGAAGATAATTAAGCACATCTCTAGATTGAATTCAAATGATGAGAAATAAAAAGTTACATGATTTCTTGAGTGGGTTACCATCGGTAGGCAATTAGCATGGTATGCATTCTCTTATATGTCATTTCTTCCATAACATTGTTGACCTGTATCAGAGAATACCTAATAGGATATCAGGCAGCACAGGTGTAGCTCTTGTGCTTCTTCCCTGTTTCTTCATCAGAGGGGGGCATAGAGAACAACCCCCCTAAGAATTACAGAGAATTACATGTATGTTGGGGGATAGATACCAGTACCCCCTCCCCCCAAAATGTAGCAATTAACCCCTAAAGAATAGAATTTATCTCTCAATATATGAGAAAAGGTGTAAAATTTTAATACATTTCCTATGACTATTCTTTACCCCCCCCCCCCATCAGGACTGAATTGCAAGTAAACATGTCAAGTACATGTATTCTTCTTATGAGGGAGGACAACAAGATTATAATTACAAAGTTACCAAACATGTACATAAGATACAACCTGTTTTTGTACCAGTGTAGAAGCCTGGCACTATTGACATGCTGATGATTTATGTTGTTACATTTTTGGGTGTGAAATACTTTGTGTAAACATGTTGGTTTTCCTGCCACAGGAATGTTTTTAATTAGTGGACCCATCTGATATCTTGACTTCTTGTGAAGCAATTTGGAGAGTTTGACTTAGTTAGTGTCAGCCTGTGTTACTGTAAATTTGAACATTTTGCTGTGTTTTAGAATTCACAGACCTCTTGGCAGGAACCCATTAACAACAAAAATATATTTTATTTCATTGATCCTTAAAATCAAAGATACCAGTACTGCAAACTCTTCATTGTTGAATGAAAGATTTTA